ACTGCTGGGTTAACAGTTGAACTCGATGGTCGAGAAGGTCTTTTTCAACCCAAATGATTCTATGATTCTTTTATTCTATACTTTAATGTAGAGTTGGGTGAGGTGAAAATACCCCTGTTTTGTGTCAGCATTGGGGATATGGTAGAAATATCACATCTGTCTTTTCAAGTATAAATTATAAACTTTTCAGGGCAATGCCCATCTCGAGACCCGTGTACAGCACCTTGCACAGTGGGTGCCCGAGCTTATCTGAGGTCTCATATGGTCAATGCACTGTATCTCCACCTACTTTATCAGTTCTCTATGAAGACTTAGTATTTTCATTATATGATCAGTAGAAGAAGAGATACATTACGTATTCTCATTCTGTTAATGAACATGGCAGTCTTTAGTAATAGAGAAGTTTGGTTTAAAATGTTTAGCAAATGTTTTTTAAGCTAATGTACTGCAGTGGTCCCTTTTAAGTTAGCCACTGTAGTATACATTAAATGTCAAATTGCTCTAGACTATACAACACAATATGCCAGCATTATGCAGCAGCTGAATTATAGATGCATTTTAGTTGTCCAGCAAAGGAAGAGAGATGCTACATTGTTGGGAATTCTTCCTGACTTTCAATCAAATAGCTGATCAGCAATGCCAAGCACAAACCGCATTTCATTTAAAAATGCTGCTAGGTAGTCCTTGATTGAACACTCTGAACCTGATCAGAATCTAATTTGGGTTTGTATTACAAAAGACACTTATATTAGCACCTCTAGGAGATCAATAACAGGTTTTAATGCATACTAATAAAAAAGGTCCTAATTCCAAATACAGCTTTAAGTTTCACAAGAGCAACATAGTTCTTGCTAATCAAACCTTTGTTGAACAAGAAGCAGTGAAATGAAGTACTGTTTTCAGACAAACAGCTAAGAATTTCACTAACAAATGCCACAAAAGGAAACCACATTAATCTGGTTTTCACAGTTGTGAGTGCAATTAAATGGCATATTTTAGGGGAAAATGCTTTTTCATGGGGGAATCCTAACTTCTTCCTAATGGTTAGTGTTGCTTCTCAGTGCGTGCTGCAGTAAAAAGTTTCCCTTTATGACAATAAAAACTGTGATCATCTGTAGAGTTAAGAAAATACAGAAGAAATTATGTCCATACGTGATTGCTTATACTAGCAAGTAGAGTATTGACTGGTGGAATAATGTTGCTCATAGGATTTGCCATGGTTATACAAACTCCGTATTAGGCTAATTGATAATGAAGACAACCCTTCGTCTCTCTTCTATCGTACCCCAGCCAATGCTTCCCTGGCAGACTGGAGCCCTAGGAGTGCTGCTGCAATAATAACTGCAATAATAATTGCTGCTGCAATAATAACATATCAATTCAGTAATGATATGTTAATTCAAAATTCTATATAGACAATGTGATTTTCTAGGGTTTATTCCTATTTTCTCCATTACTGTGTTAATTACATTACTGGATTTGGTGAGCAGAAACTCAGCGTGTCTCCCGAATTTCGGCAGCTGATGCAAAACTTGAGAAATTGATCTTGGTGATTTTGTGTAGCACTGCAGGTGATGCACTGCGTGGGAGGTGGAGGAAGATTTTATTGATCCGATAATGTCATTCCCCATACTTCTGTCCTCCCACTGAAATGACCATTTAGTCTCTGCTGCAATAATTTATGCATTGTAGAGCTACACTTCTCTCTCTAGTGCAACACCAGCCCCTCAAAGAAAGATGCTTATGACCTCTCTTCACTTTACTAAACCACATCTATTCCTTGGGACTTGTATTCTGACTCTGTGTTGTGGCTGATTGAGGTTTTTGGGGTTTATTTGTGCGTACATTTATACTCAGTCAAAGTATCTGAGATTATTTTTGCTGGGCCTGTAGGAAGAATGACGCCTGTATAGTTTGTCATAAAAACCATCAGACATGTAAGTCTGTATTTGTTCACTAAAGCAAACAAAACATCCTGAATGCCCAGGGTTATATTCATAATATGACAAGGAGGAGGCAGTCTGTGTGAATGTAAATCAGAATTTATACATTGGAGCCTCTGCTTTTATAGTTTAGTCTGTTTCATTCTACAGGAAAAGCTACAGTAATTTTCAATTAACAAGGCAAAATTATTTCTGCAGTTATGTAGTTAAACCTCACAGCAGTTGTGTTTCCATAGACAGGGGCCATGGCGAGTGGAGGGTTTGTGTCTGAATTCCCCCAGAGAACTGGGGGCGGGGGGTTAGACAGTCTGGAGTCACTGGGAGATAACCTCCAGAGCTTCCACCTCACTGTGTAGAGATTGCTGCTGTGAATGAGGACATGGAATATGGGATGGCTGTTGTTTAAAATACCCAGCCTTTTCCTTTCAGAGGTAACAAAATGCTTTACCTAATGTTTTACCTAGAAAACGAGTGTCCAGCATCAGTGTTATCCTAATGGGGTCCTTCTGTGAGCATTCTCCTTCCCTAACTATGCAACACCCTTTCCCTCTGCAGCTGGCACTGGAGGAAGGGGTGCTAGCACCATTTTCAGACAAAAGTGTGCTGCTCAGCTTGGGCTAGCTTCTTCATAGTATCACCATGCCCAGCAACCACCAGAAATGGTCTTTGCAGCAAAATGAGCTCACAAGGTCCTCCAGGCAAGAAAGCTATATACATGAAAGAGAGAAAGAAATGGCCACTGGAGATGTTCCTCAGGTCTACTTTGGTCTCTCCCCCCTCTACCCTTCCATTCCTGGCAGGCTGAAGTTACAGTTCCCATGTACAGTTCCACTGAAAAGTAGGCTGCTTTTCTAATAGGATGAGCAGATAGAGAAATGTGTGGATTTCCCTGGTCCTTGGCAGCGCTGCAGTTCAGCCACCTCTGAAGTTTCCACTCATCTCAAATGTTCACTTGCCAGACTTTGTAGGGTATTTGTTCTTCAAATATCTGTGGCATTTGTTCTTCATACATGAACTTCTTGTCATTTTACCGTAGCACAAAATAACAGTGACACTAGACATATTAAACATGTGAAGCTTGTGTATGCGGTGGGATGGTCAGGATTCTGCTTGAGATTAAAGGCTCCAAATCTGAAATTGTCACTGATGGAGTGATACGTTACTTATGACGAACTTGGCTTTGATTTCATAACTGGATTTCTCAACATTTCTCAAGACTGTTTGATATTATTTGCCTGCCAATTTGTTGTTGTTCTTATTCAGGAATGCAGTGTCTTTTTTGCATTCATAGTCCTGAATGAGGATTTCTCACTTATATGCTTTTTTCCATACTGTTACTTGCTCTAGTAGAAACTGTTAGAGAAAAGTAGATTTGGATTATTGTTCCTTCTGTGATAGTGAGGTTACTAATGGAAAAAGAAATCTAGATACAGTCCAGAAGTTTTTATTAACATTTTATTTGCTGATGTCTTAAATCTAGAAAGGTTATATCAAGTTTAAACTACATTAGCATTTGTATTGAGCGATAACTATTCCCTAATGACTTTAGAATTACAGTTTACTGCTGTGAATACTTCATCTTTCTTACAACCTTTTAAATTAGAAGAATAAATGCTGCTAAAAAGAAAAAAATCAAGTTATGTACATGGTAGAGGTTGCAAAACTATACTTTATGATTAAATCTGCCATAGTATTTGAAGTTGATTTAGGACTCAAAGGATATACTTATTTTTCATGGAGGACTATATATAGAACATAAATAAATCTAAATACAGTTCAGCCAAATATAAATCAATAAGGCAGAGAAGAGAAGGGCCCTAAACTATATCTCATTGCTTTTTGGTGCCTTCTATATACAAAAAAAAGAATCAGATTCTTAGCTTTTTATATTTCAGGCATATATGTTGTCTTAGGACCCTGATGTCAGCCCTGTCCACGTCTATCTGCAGCTTGGGAGCCTGAATTCATGGAGGTGTTTCAAATTTGCGATTATTTAGAGGGAATTTTAAAGCATGCTCTTACTTTTGAGTTTCGCCAAGGAGCTGCTGAGAAAACTGATGGGACTGCTTTGTTAGGGAGGGAGAAGTCCTAAAACCTGGAACATTTTGAAACTTTAATTGTAATTCTTCTTGCAATGCTTATCAGATGAATTGTATGTATTATATAATGTGAAACACTGTACTAATCATAGCAGTGATTATTATGCAAAGCCTTTTTCCAAGGTAGGTCTTAAAATGCCCTAAGGACACAGCAGGGAAGTGTTGGGGAATTCAGGATGCATTTTCACACTTTTATTCTATTTTATTCCCTCACATTTTGCCCCACCTCATGCCAATCATTTGTTAATGAAATGTAGGGACTTTTCTTGTCATTTGTTCTGAAATTGTACCTTACCTCTGAGATATACACTGAAGGAAGAACTCGCCATTCAGATGTTGCTCTGCTTTCAGTCAACCTTTGTAGATCAGATACAAAAAGAAGGTGACCGTGAAATTCAGTGACCTTCTTCGTGCTGCAATCTCAAATCAACAAACATAGAAAAAATAATTAGGAACTCTTTTTCAATATCATAAGGCTGTAGAATTCATTTTGTGGTTTTTTTCCAGTGAAAACTTTGAAAATTGTGACACAATGATGCTCACTTAGAAAAAGCAAGAATAAGAACGTGCAGGATAATAATACCATTGCTTTCTAGCATCTAGGTTTCATATAAATTTGATTATTTCATAGCATCATCGCTCTAAATAGACTATTACCTATACCAGAAGTGGAAGCCTTCATCATGTTGGTGTGCAGTAAAACCCAGCACAGGTCATGGCAGTCAGGCTGTGACTCAGGACAATGCAGGTTCTGCTTCCAGGAGATCCCCAGTCTTTCCCCTCCGCTCACTGTTGCATGCATTTAATTTTATTTTGCAACAGTTCTCAAATTTATACTTACTCTGAATTCTTCCATGCCAAATGACTGTACACTTAGAAGACAGTTTATTCACTTGCCCAGCGATGTCACTGGGCAACAGTGGAGTTGGTTCTGTGGCCAGTTGTTTATAGGAGTGAATGGTTAGGTACATAAGAAATGGACTGTGAGCCATTAACTCAATGTATTTCCTAGGACAGATGGTTGGCCAAAGTTGAAAATGTGTGACTTATTTCATACTAGAGATTTGTTTTAAAGCTTATCTCTACTTGTAGGACTGTTTTCCTCTTTTATTTAGTTACTCCGTTGTTGAAATGATAGGATTCAATCCTACGGTCTGTCCTCAGATCACAGCTGTCGTGGCTCTCAGTTAGTGATATCATTGCCTGAAGGTGATAAGTAAATGTTCATCTAAGTGTGCAGTGGTTTATGGGGGAGAGTTTGAGAGTAGCTATCCAGTCTGCCTGGAGGTCCATTCGGCCTGTGGGGTGGTCAGACTCACATCACTCCCCTCCCAGGGAGGGTTCCTCCTCCTTCGCTGTGGTTACAGTGATGTGAAGCCTTTGGCCTCGTGAGATGGTGGGAACGCAGGTCATCTTCTCCTCAGCAAGGAGAAAGACATTACATTTTGGTTGCTGTCTCTGCTCTGATTGTTCTCCAGTTACCTCCTGCCCAATACCAGCATTTCCCATTGAGTGGAGCACCACCTGCCTACTGAGGACTGGATTGCCGTCACCCACGCAGCTCTTCCTCCATGGTCAGGACTAGTGCTGTCACCCCATGATATTTCAGCATGAGAAAGAGGTCAGGGATGTCCCTAGGCCCACCCACATCAGACATATTCTGCTGTACAGGCATCTTTCTAGACAGGATGGATCAGGTGCATCCAGAGATGTTGTCTACACTCATCTCTGCACAGGGCTGGGGAGGGTCTCTTAGGTTCTTGGTCATGATTAGGTCCAAAGAAGGCACTAAGCTGTGTAAATCTGCCAGGAGAGCACTCACTGTGGGGGACAACTCTAGATGCAGGCACCTTTCAGGGTTTGGCCTGATGTTGAATATTACATCCATGGGCTGAGACACAGAACTCCAACAAAAAAATTAACTATAGCCACCAATTCCTTTTGTTACTGTGGGCCCAATCCGTAGCAGGGCTTGAGCTTCCAGCCGTCAGTGTAACCCCTGATGTCCCACTAACCACTGTGAGGAAGGCAGGCTGCCCAGATTGGCATTAGGAACCTGAATACTGTTGTAGTTCCTGGCTCCAGGGAATTAGCTTCCTACTGGAGGAAAGCAACAGTTGTCCTCCCCTTCCCAGGTATGCGCTGCCACTGGCTGATTTCTGGAGCACGAGAGTGTTTAATTCATCTTCCCAGTTCTGGATGGGACAAAAATTTACTCCAGCATTTAAAGCCTGAGTAAGGAAATTTATCAACAAGACTGTGGGAACATCCCTCTTCCATTCTCATCACAGAAAGTAAGTCTAAGATTCCTCAACTCATACTGTGTATTTTTGAGTAGGTCAGGGCTCTCCTTTTGTTTTTAACATGGACATTTATTTATGTGCTGTTTCTTTCAGCAATGCATGCAGGGCTGCTGTGGGATAGTAACCATAGTAACTGCAGAACACAGAAGACGTAATTTCAGCCCCAAAATGCATATTACTGGGTTTGTGTTTACTGGACAGGAATTGTCTCATTCCCTAAACAACAGAAGGAAGTGAAAAGTTACTTGTTTCACAGCAATTAAAGGAGAAACTGAGCAGACAGTGGAAGTAAATGATGAATCACGCACCAATAAATAGTTTCTTTTCCTAGAAATGCCTTTGTTCAGAGGACTGCTAAGCCTAACCCTGAGGAACTTGAAAAATGCAAAATATGCATTAGATGCTGTTCTGGTACGTCCAGGAAGCCAGTATAGACAGATAAGACCAAAAAGAAATCTAAATTCTTGGTTTTTATATATATATATAATATATTCAATAACAATATTTTTATATTTAATAACAATGAAATAACCTGGTCTGAGGGTTTTTTATCCACACTGGGCATTTCACCATCTTTGTGAACACTGTCAGGTGATCTGAGGGGTCTGCTGCAGGGCTTTACTGACACGATGCCAAAGTCATGTTTCTGTGTTATAGGCAGTATGTAACTTGCCTCTTACTCCAAAGCAGATGCACCAAATACAGCAGTAATGCAGTGTGGGGCTCAGCCCCTCGTCTTTGGCGTCCAGCTTTGAATATTCACCTACAGAAGCGAAGCAGGGATCTCTGCTATCTTCAGCCTGATAGAATTGGCTTGTTATGTGACAGGTCAGATACGATGTTCTGTGCATGACCAAAACCTTTTTACTTGCTTGACAGAGGTCCCCATCTGACCCAGGGGAATGTAGGATATTGCTGCAGAATGCTTGTTGCAAAAAATCTAGTGCTTTCTGTCCTACTCCCTTTCTCCATCTAAACAATCCTATTTCCCCTGTGCAGGAGTGTCCCAGAAGAGGCAGCACTGTGGCTGCTGTGGTTTCTGTTTCCAGCTACGTAACAGACTTGGGTATGTTAGGGACCAAACCAGTATACAGTAATTTGAGGTGTTGTCCTCTGTCTTTCCCTCGATAACACATAGACAGCCGCATTTATTGTTGAATAAAATAACTTACTGTAAACAGGCTTCTGTACTAAATAGTTCTAGGGATTTATTTTTATGTGCATTTGAAAAATTAGTACCTTGATGGATCACACACCAAGAAATAGTTTCTTTTCCTAGAAATGCCTTTATTCAGGGGACTGCTAAGCCTAACCCTGAGGAACTTGGAAAAATACTACACTGCTTAATGAGATTATAACCAAGTTTTTAATAACTTAATAAAATACCCTTTACTTTTGAACTGATATTTACTTTTCCTTGCTCTCAGAGGGACACAAATTTTAAAATGAAAGAAACTGAGTTTTTCAGAATAATGACTCCACAAGTCAGATATTAATGAAAAACAATAATGATGAGAACTGTTGACTTAATATGAAAAGTGAGGCAGCTTAGTACTCCTTAGCTGGTCTAATGCTGAAATTGGATATACTTATTTATATTTTTAGGAACCTTCTCACATTATGACTTTTCACATACTTGATTTTAGTATTAGTATTTTCATCATATGGAAAGACTTGCTTTCCTCCATTATGCTCAAAAAATGTTACCTAGGGACAAATAAGCATTTTTGCAGCAGTGGAGAAAAACAAGCAAAATAATAAATGTGTAATAAAAAGCACCTTTCATGCTTCTACACTTCTTTGCACTTTCACATGGATTAACAAGGGCACATACAATTCCCCAGTGAATATTTCAGGGTTTTCCATGCTGCATTTCTTTCCTACTTTGATCTCTGGAACACATTTCTCATGAAAATGTTAGTGTTTCCCCAGGTTTTACTCATGGGCCTGAAAACAATAAACTAATTGTTTCTTGTCCAGCAGAGAAAGTGAGAGGATACCTCTACAAATTCGATAGGAACAACAATAACAACAGCAGTAATATGAATGGTTATTCACTTCATAGAACAATTACAATGAAACTTCTAAAATTACTTTTTTGCCTTAAAGAAAAAAAATCCCTTAGAAGATTTTCAATGTACAGTGGAGAATAAACAACAAAACTATTTAAGAAATATAACAATAATTGATGAATAAATTGATTACAAGAAAAATATGCTTTAAAGATTCATGAATAAATGCAGCTAACCGAATCAACATCACAATTAGCAAAACATGTCTGTATGAAAAATGCATTGTCAAATAAATGTTTTGTAAGTGAAAGAGGTAAAGGAGGCTGGCTCTTGTACAAGAAGGAAAGAAGATTAATTGGTATTTTTAACTGGATTGAAGAATATTCTTTATTCCTAGGAAGAGTTTGATTTCTTACCTCAAGCTGCAGACCTGTTCCATTTCAAAAGGTTGCGAAAATATTTTTTCAGCATTCAAAGGATGTCCTTCCATGTCCCTTCCTCCCAGCAGAAAAATAACAAAAACATCTAAAGTTCAGATGTTTAGAAAAATATTGCCCTGAGATCTGAAACCAAATACAAGAAATTCCCTACTGAAAGCATTTATTCTCCCTGCAAGGTAGAGGCAGTGACAGGTGTATTTATTTTAAAGGGAAGGTGCCCCTGCCTGTCTGCATCACAGCCTGGAGGAAAACACTAATAACTCCAACTTCAGTGGCTGTGGAGAAGGAGACTCATCCACTAAAGCAGTTCCTGTGTAAGGACTGATACCACAGGAGTAACATCCCAGGCATCCACTCTAGGTGGATGAGTAGGAGTACAGCATGTTGGATGTCAGATCTACTGCCAGATTATTTGCTCCTCTTTCTGAGAGCCTGGCAATGAACAAGCAGGACCAACCCTAGCTTTGAAATCTCTGAGGGATCTAATAAATAATCTGCTAATCCTTCTGATGGAGGCATTAGTTTCAGTGGCTTTGTCTCTTCCTAGATGGCATTGACACATCATGACCAGAATGGGAGCTGGTAGCTCTTTTGTATTTGTGTTGATTGCCTTGGTTGCTTACCATACACACCTGTTGAGCCTGAGCTGAAGCATGGATGCGAAAATAAATTCTTTACATGTAATTCTCACAGTAATTAGGAATATCCCCAAAGCTCCTTGATTTTGTGAGCTCTCCAAGCTTGCCCTCCCTTCTGGTTTATGACTTCATGTTCAATTTATTTTGGTTTGAAGTGTATCATTTGTGCTGACATGGTTTTGACATTGTATTATAGTCTTCCCAGCCTTGCTCTACTGGCTGTATGAGTGTCTGATGATACTCAGTGGCATGCAAATAAATAGACAATTACAGTTGGTACAAACATCCATTGTATTTCACAATGTGCAGCCTCCGTACTTGATTTACAAACCTAAACATGCGTAAGTGATTTCAATAAGCTATGTTCTGAAAATACCCATTACTGTCAATCCCATGGAAAATACCCATTTTAAGTGTCCTTATTCTGCAGTTAGTGCTTGATTGGCCCAAAGATCTGAGAAGGGTCTTGCTTAACTGCTGGGGTGCTGCATTGCTCTTTCAGCATCTCTCTCCAATTTGGGTGCTTGCCCACAGGCCTATAACCCATCCCAGCAGATGAAAAGCTCAAACAGCTTCCCATTTTATATTTCATTTGCACTTAAAAACTTATGATACTTTGTAGTCTCAATACAAGCTGGATTTAAATGAAATGAACTGTGAAAGCACAGTATGGTAGTGTTAAAATGAAGGACAGTTGTGTACAAGCACACTGTGGTCTTGCAAACAGACATTCATGTTTCTTTCCTGTTGACATAGGTTGCAAACAGGAGAAGTAGGATGCACTTCTCCTAGCTGTTGAGAATATTCATCACCGCAGAGTGCCAGAGGATGATGTATAGAGCAGTCACGTCCTGGGATAAGAAGCAACAAGAGATAACAGTGCTGTTTTCCAGCAGATCCCATGACTTTTTCTCTGGCAAAAATTGTAGAGAAGATTCTGACTTTTCTCGTGGAGGAACAAGCTGTTTTAGAGAGCACTGCCAGAAAGTTGTAGTGTTTGGTGATGAGATTCAGGAAGCAGACTGTGTGAAATTTCTGTGCTGTCCACCAGAATTGTATGGTACAGCCCGTCTACGCAAGTTTTATTCCTGGTCTTAGTAGCATTCAGCCAAAGCTACTAATAAAAGTTAATGGATCAAATTATCTATTCCACATTCAAAAGTTGTATGTGCTCAGAGAGATAGAAATAGAGCAGTAAACAAAGGCAGTCGATTGAAATGTGAAGTCAAGTGATTGACGAGCTTTATAAGCATTCAAGTTTCACATTTCTGCAACACATCATGAGAAAGTTCATACAGGTGTTCTGGCCTGTAGATCCTGCTGTGCACCCTGTTCTCCCTCTCCTCAGTTGTGAGCATCTTTTTCATCTGCTGTAAGTAGGATCTTGGTCCATGAAGCTCAGCTTATTGACCACTTTCCTCTCTAGCTGTCCATCCAGTTCTGTCTGTGCTTTATCTTAGATCCCCATCTGTGTGATAGAGTAGCAGAAATTGTGTGAAAACACTTTAGCATAAGTCTCCAAGACTTGAATTCAAACACAGCATTTCCACGCTCTTGCACTCCATTCCCTCCCCTTTTAGGTTTTTCCAACCCCTAACAGAAAATTTCAATAGTAATAATTGTTCCTATATCAGTCATTAAAACATCAAAGAAATACAGTTCATTATTAAATAGGTGTTAGTTATAGAGAGGTTCACCGTGAATAATGAAATCCCAAGCACAGTGGCAGTAACACTAATCTTCGTTTTGCAAATATTCCCCAAGGCCTTTTTCAGTAAAAGAGCTAAATGCTCTTCTGCAAACATCAGGTCTTCTTTAGTTTTTTCCTTCATTTTCTCTTCTGTTTTTATAGCTACCATCTATTTTTAA